AACAAAGTAAGATCCAGTGAATGCACTACATTTCCAGAAATTGTAAAATGGCTAAGAGCAAAAATTCCCCAGTTAAGAAGCCTGACGTATATTTGGGCCTCACCACTTACATACTGTGAGCCTTTGGGCACATTTTCTCCTCTTTTTATCTCATTTTCTCCTTCTGTGAGGTTGTTAGGGGAATTAAATAGGATAGTACACGCACAATGCATAAAAGAGCAATTGATGCATAATGGAAAGTCACTAATAAGAGTTGCCACATTATCCTAAGTTGCTATGCCTGAGTTTTTGATATTCATGCCAATCCTAAGGCTACAGAATCTTGAATCTTTATAGAACACAAAAGATAATGTGGACAAAACTCATCATTTTACAGGTGAAGATGTGAAAGAACTTATTTCTTAATCCACAGTCATACAGCTGGTCACACTGGTGGAACAGTGGTGAAATTTAAAGGACCGGATTCCATCCTGTGCTCTTGGGGCACATCCTGAGTGGCAGGGGACGGGGAAGCCAGAGGGTTATCAACCACTATCAAGACTGGGAGGAGAAGCATTCTCCCTTCCGCTGGAACAGTAGTTCACACAGGCCTTCTTCATCAGGATCTGTCAACTGGCTTTTCACTGTCTCCCTCTTTCTCTGCCCAGTGTTTCAGGTCACCCCTTTGGCGGGTCATGGAGAATTAAAGACACTTGGGAGTGCTGGACGTGGGCATTTTCTGTATTACTCATCTCAGTAGGAACATGGGTCATTTTAAAAGTTTCCTGCTCTCTTGATGGCTCTCTATCTTTACCATAGCACTTTACTGCCACAAAGGGCAAGCATGGAAATGCACATGCAATCATGTCTGTATTAGACTCATCCCAATTTTCAAACATAGACACCTTAAAGTAGAGAATGGTATTTTGGGGTTACACAGAATATAAAGATGCAAAAAAGAATTGCTTGAGAATAAACATTTTATTTAGTAATCATTTTGAGTAGTAGGTTTATTTGATAGTTATGCTAACCTTCACTGTGACGCCCAAAGAGATTTTCTAAAATGCTTCTGTAAGAAGCTTTAAAAAGTGTAAAAAAATTTAAAATTCAATTTTTAGAAAAACAACAATGCTGTTTTTTTAAGTGTAGTAACAGTCTATAGCAGAATAATTGTTAACCACGGCAATTAGAAACATTTTGGGTTCTAACTCTTCCAAATTTATTTGTGTGACTTTGAGCAATAAAATTAGTTTCTACTTGTTTGTCTGAAAAAGTAAAAAAGTAATTATTTCAGTAGTAAAATAACAAGTTTTCATTTTATTATGGATGCTAAAGACCAAACTGTGTCTCCTACAAAATTCATATATTGATGACCTAGCCTCCAATGTGACTATTTTGGGATATAGGGCATTTACGGAAATAGCTAAGAGTAAATGAAGTAATACACATAAGACCTTGATTCGATGGCATTAGTACAGTATCCTTTTAAGAGAAGACACCAGAGAGATGCTGTCTGTCGTGTGAAGACACAGTGAGCAGGTAGCCATCAGCACACAGGAAGAGAACCTTCATCAAACACCCATGCTGCTCAACCTTCATCAGGTTCTTCCAACCAGCTCTAAGAGAATAAATTTCCCCTGTTGAATCTGCCTAGTATTTGGTATTTTGCATTGACAGCTTGGGCTAAGACAGTGGAATTAACACCACCCTTTTGTTTTGTGAGATAAAGAAGTAGAATCATATGCTCCAGGTTAAGGTGAGAGACACTTGCTTTGTTCTTTAGAATAGTTACAGAGATGGGAAAAGAAAGTCAATGTTAGAAAAATATCAATACATAAAACTTTAGATACAGAAACTTTAAAGACAGACGTCCACTATGAACATGGTGGCTGTGAATGCATATAGGTAACAAATATATAATGACTGCATTTGGTGGTTAAAATCATTGCTTCTGGAACATGGTTTCCTGGGTCTGAATCATCCCCTTGTTGCTTACTCGCTGGGCTTCTAAGGGAAATTCATTTAAACTCTCTGAGCTTCACCTTCTTTATTGCTAAATGGAATAATAATAGTATCTTTCACGATATTGTTAGGATTAAATGAATCAATCATAAGCTCAGAATAGTGACTTATGGTTAGAGTTTCACAGGAATTCATTTCATTATGACACACCCCCACATGAACACAAATTCAGACAAACTGGAATTGTTTCAATCAAAACATGCAAAGGAAAAAAGAATCTAAAGCACAGCTGTTCCTCACCCACCACACCCACTTTACGGGGCAGTTCCTTTCTCATTGACCCTCCAAAAAGTTAAAGTCTGTGGTTAATCTCCAAAAATCTTCAAATTTATTGGCCACTTGTGCCTGTAAGAATCTCCAAAAATAATTAGGACATGGAGCAAGAGAGAATGGGAATGGAAAATGGAAAATTATAGAGTAGAGGTTAGGGGTTAAGAAAATGCTAGATATCAGCAACTTGCAATGACATCAAAGGATGAAGACCTCTATGATAATTGTGTATCATTTTCATACTGCTATTGCTATTACTCAGAAGAAAATAATTTTCCCAAGTCAAAATTGATTCCAATATAAATGACTGTTTGTTTTCATATTTATGCTCTTCACATCGGATCTTAGGTTCTTAAAAAATATAATTGTGACAAGAATGTATAAAGCCACGTTTTCAGAGCAATCAAAACTTTTCTCACATTCTCCATTATAAGTCAAATTTAACCTCCTGCTTCTCTATGTAAACTTCATCTCGCGGTTAACTCTTGACTCAAACGGTGTCAACTTTTCTCCCAGAGGGAAGCAGAAACTCATCTCCTGTCCAAATGTAGCAGTGGGATCATTTCTCCAGAAAAAGGGGGCAAAGAGTTCTAAGTGTAGGCATGCGAAAACACATTCAATGGATTTGCTTTCTGCTGGGTGTGCAAGCATCCTAGCCAGCCTTCTCTCATTATTTTCAGCACTCTTAGAGGAACTGTTGATCTTGGTTACTTCTCAAGTACTTGGCCATCAACTCAGAAGACCAATTTTGTTTATAATAAGCTTTTGATGTCCAGCAAATTTTATATGCTTCCTCTCTAGAGATGTAATGATACTACTTAAAACTACCAAAATATATGTCATCAGGCCCTCTCAATTTTACTCAAGTGCTTTGAAATTGATGTAAAATTTAGAATTTATCAACTTGAACAAATGTATGCGAGCTGTGATTGAAGAAGGCCCAAAAGATCACAGTGTATGACAGAATGTAAGTAATATTAGATGAAGAAAGGTACAATTGTCTGGATTTGTGAATAGACTCAGCCACTGACAATAATTCCTTGGAATTTCTTTTGTTCTTGAAAATACTTCCGACTTCACTGCAAATGTGAGAAGTTGAGTAAGAAATATGTAGGGTCAGGTGAGAGGAAAGGAAGAATAATTTACCCATTTGTCTTTGATAAAGTATCCAATTAAAAATATGTATTTGATGTTTTAAAATAACAAGCAGTGTGTAGTTTTTCTCTCCATATTTTTTCCAAATACATTTTCAAAAGTTAGGAGTTGTGGATGTTCCAAATTCATTTTTGTGAGGGTTATAGAGATTATTTAAATTATTTTATAACTCAAATAATAAAATTGCTTCTAATTAATTATTCATTCATTAATTAGAAGAATTAATTAATTATTCCAGGTTTGGATTTACCAGCACTAATATTTAATTTACCTAGGTAAATATGCACTGTGATAATTACAATAACTACTCATCAACTTTAAAAAAACAAATATTACTACTTAGTAGATACTGGTATTATGACAATAATTCCAGTGGAAGAGCAGGCAGGAGCAGCTGGGTTAATGGAAATCTTGATGGCTAGACATTGCCAAGTAGTGTATCATTTCTATTATTCCACCTGTGAACCACTAGCCATATTCTATTACAAGGAGGTGAAGTACAAGAAACTAGACAAAAATTTGAACACAGGATTATTGAAGAATTACTCATGAAAGTAGCCTCTGTTTTAGTGAGAATCAACATCTAGATATTTAACACTTGTCAGTTAAAAAGTATCCATATCCAAAGCAATGTTTTTCTTTCACTGCACAGTATTGTGCCTGATACAATAAATTGTTTGTGAGTTAGTTCTGCTGACAGAATACTGATGTCCAAAGTAGAAGACAAACTAATGACAAACTACTACCTTTGAAACAGTAAATACAGGACAACCAATTACTAGTACTTCCAAACTCCCTCTTAGAAGAATACAACATCCTAAAAAGATGAAACTCATGAACTCTTCTCATTCTCCCTCAGCACTCTAGTAATCCTCTCTAAAGATAATAGAATCCTAATTTATCAGTATACAAATCAGATTAATAGCAGATTGTTAACTACCTCTGAATGGAAGGATAACAGTTATTTATCTCCAACTTTGGGTAAAACCATCCCTGCTTCTCTACACATATCAGCTTTTATCAAGAGCAGAAGGAAGAGAAAATACTCTGAATCAGACTAGCATCTCATTCATAGAATAAAAGCTTTCTGATTTCAAAATGAGCAATTATCATGCCCTAAAAAGTTGACCCAACTTTGTTTTATTTGTTCAAAGAGGATCATCGCAGAGGGAAAGCACACATGATTTATGTAGCACCACAGAACTTTAATCCATAGCTCATGAAAGGGTGCAAGAGCAGCTTGAAAATTATGCTGAGCTTAATTATACTTAATGTGAATTATTCAGAAGTGCAGACAGAGACTAAAAATTTATTTCATACAAAGAAGCTTGACATTTTAATTGGTCCTTCAGAATAGAGACAAAACAATTTCCTCTCAAGAAAATTTACATCTTCCTTATCAGAGCTGAAGCCTCAGCCAAGCAGAACTTCATTAACAAGATTAATCACCACGCCAGTGTCTGCCTCATCAGGTGTATGGCCCAGGTAAAAAGAGGAATACAAAGTAATGACTGACATTTCCAACAGATAGGACTGATACAGGAAGGAAAAAATGACAGATTGAGTTACCATACCTTGGTCATTAGCCATTTTGTCAGGGTGTTCCACTGTGGGAGAAAAAATAATATTAATATCATTAGATTTTGACAGTCTCCAGCCAAAAAAAAAATAAAGCTGACAAATTGACAGTTTTGTTAACAGGTTTTCATATTAAGGTAAATGCTTTACTGAAACAAGATTGATAAATATTCAAAGTTATATGTGATGATTTCTATTAAGTAAGTACTCAGAGGAAAAAAATTTAAAATAATGTTTTTTGCTGTATAAGTACATTCTAAAATAGATTATTTGTCACACCAAAACAAACTCAGAATGATTATTATGTAAGTTTAATTACAAGTAGACAAAGGAGAATTCATGCAGTAATAGTAATTATCACCCACATACATATTTTAAGTTCAGGGGACTATTTCCTGTATGTGATTATTTTGAGCAAGAGAACTTGGCCAAATCATAAATGGATGTAGCTAAATTATGGGATATTATAAATATGGAATAATATAAATAGTTTGATAAATCTTTAGATCTCGTGAAGATAACTATTAAGTTGTTCAGAACTCCAGTTAGGTTAATGAGTAATATTCTTTAAAAATCACTTTTTACAATTTAAAAATGTCTCTAAGAGGGCCAGGGATTTAGCTCAGTGGTTTCGCCGCCTGCTGTGCAAGCGCAAGGACCCGAGTTCGATCCCCGGTACCAAAAAAAAAAAAAATGTCTCTAAGAGTTAAAAACAGGTGGCTTATTTTTGTTAAGTGAATGAAACTAAAAAGGAAGCATATTGTTAGCATTATAGCGATTCTAAAAATTGTGATATGGCATTTTTGCCAGTCCAGATGTTTTCAAAACTCCATGAGTTAGACTTATTTCATTTATACTTGTCTTGAATTTTGAGAGTTCTTGGCTTATTTAACTCATTCAATTGTACACAAACTTGCCAAGTAGGCTACTATACTTGCAAGTTTGCTTCCTGTATATGTCTCAGTTAAACTTACCAGAGAAAAATGGCACAACTGAGCTAACTACCCAGCCCAGGATGTTTTTAAACTAAAATGCTTGAAGCTTTATATCTTAAGAAATATTTTATTGAAATATGATTAACAAGGAAAAAGCTGTACATATTTAATGTATACAACTCTATGAGACTGGGTCTAAGTATACATGATTATCAATGTCATAAACATATTCACCACCTCCCAAAACTTCCTCCTCCTCCATCTACATTGTCACTGTCATCATCATTGTTATTATTGTTTCAAGAATATCGTGACATTTTGCTTCTATTTCCCATTGAAGACTAAGGACTTCTCAAACTTCTTATATTTTGTAGGATTAAAAGTTTGCTGATTACAGGAGCTTTTAATAGAATTGCACAACAGGGGCTTTTAATAGGCAACTGCGTTACATGTGGCCTATGAACAGGTTTATGACCTGAGATCCTAAAGTAGCCTTTGAGGAAGGACACTGTATTGTCAAAAGCACCATACCAGGTCTCCAGTAAGAAGAAAGAAAAATATTTCAGAATCTTAAGTAGCCAAACAATATGGGAAGTGCATAGGTTTGGCAGAGCAGGACAAACCTCTGAAATCATGCTAATCAGTATCTAATATTTAGTGGAGAACTGTTTAGAATGATGACAGGGAAGCTAGAGAAAAGTAAACTAACTACATCTTATTTCCATTCTTTGTTTCTTCCTTTGTTGTTAATAATATTGCATGCATTGCCAGCAGTCTAAGATATTTTTAGCAAGTGATAAACAATGTTGTATATTTGTCTTTATTACCAGAGCTAGACTGGATGTAACTTAAAATATTTTTAATATATCAAAAAAGATTATATATTGATGAGTACTTCCCATTAAAAACCAAATGGATTCTGACTTTTATTAAAAACAAATAATGGCTTCAAAATTTTGTGATTGGTGTCTTGAACTTTTAATTATTCATGTCACGTGTCAAGAAAATCATGTATTTTGTCACAAATTAATCTGAGCATTAAATCTCTTTTTCCATCCTTGTACAGAGTTTTCTTCCTAGCTTGGGGAGTGATACATTTCAGAGTAACTACAAAGGATGCTCAGAGGGTAGACCATACTCTACTGAGCTACTGCTGAGGATTCTGCTTCTCTGTGTGTAGAAAGTGACTCCCTTTGCACATTTAGCCAACATGGAGCCAAATACTGTACTGGAGGGAACTGATCTAGAGATAGACAGACATCTTTCAGTGTAAGGGAGGCCTGAGAAGAACATGGAGAAGGGAAGTTCATAAATATTTGCAATACTATGTGATCTGAGAATAAAGATAAGATTCTTTTAATTAACATTTTACAGAAAGAATTGGATGCATCCTATGCATGCATATACATAAGTATATAGCAGTACAATCCCTAATTGTAAATGTGCTTTTAATTAACCACCGATTACTGATTAAGTTTCTCAAACCTCTCTGGCTGGCTGCTCATACAAAAAGATAAAAATCTAATCTCAAGTAGAAAATGTTGCTATTTTTTGAAGACTAAAAGAATGAGGTTTGTGGACCCTTGCCTGGGGCATAATTTGTAAGGAAACACTTGTCCATTACCCAGTACACTACTGGGAGTTTCTTCAGCTTTAGCAAAACATCTAAGATTTTCTCACTGTTCAACAAAGTTACTTTCTGATGAACAGAAAACTGATGTTTTGAAGCAGCTTCAGGAATCTAAAAGCTTAAATCAGAAAGCAAAAGCATGATTTTATGTCCTTGATATAGATTTGGTTCATTGTGGCTTTAAATCTTTTTTAATGAGTAATTTAGTACAATTGTCATTGAAAGTGACATGCAAGATGCATACATGTACAATGTCAATTATTGATGAAGATGAGGAATATAAATATTTTTGAGTAATTTAAAATCCACCCAAGACATCAAAAACTTTTTATCTGATGAACAATGTTTGCTTAAAGATCTGAGCTATTAGTGTGAAACATAATTAAGACAGGCAATATTAAATATCAAATTAGGTTATTAGAAATAACTGTTTAGACTATTATATCATAGAACAAACCATAACTTTTCCTGAAGTTCTTGTTAGTCTTGAAAATCATTTGTAGATGAGGTTAGAGTACTGATGTTAATAGTACCAAAGGAAATGTTGATTTCTCAGGATGTTTATCAGTGTGGGCCACTTTGCACTTTATTACATTTGGACACCTTAAGTCAGTGGTGGCGGACCTACAGCACATGTGCTGTAGTGGGGTATTTGCTATTATTGTAAGCTCTAAAAGGTTCATTATCACTGCCCTAAGCCATCTTAAACCCTCTTTGAGATCTTTCAGCTGGCATATATTGCGAACATAAAATTAATTTGTTACTTTTCCATAGTAAAGATAATAGTATTTGTAAAACATTGTCTAATTATATTTCATACTTCCACAAAATGAAGAACTGGGTACCTTTTGATTCCTCATTTGGAATAAAACTTGATTTAGACATGCAGTCCTCAAAACCTGGACAAAGATCAGCTCATTTTTTCCATATCCCTTTTCCAACTTCTACTACATCATTCAGTAGTATCATGCAGGCTTAAAATGAATGCCTATTTGTGCATTTCTGGCAAACTTTCAGATTATTACCAAAACCAGTTTTTGAATAGATTATTCATGAGAATTCAAAAGTCCACTATTACCTTCCTTGTAGAATTAAGAACCTTTTTCTTTTTTAGTATATAAAACAAATGGTTAGAAATGTCAATCATCCATGGATTTCTCATATCATAATTGTTTACCACTGTGTATTACCAAGTTTTCTTCAGGATATTTAGGAATAATATTGTCAGATTTAAAAGCCAAGCTATCCTCCCTTAAAACAATGTACATCATGCATCCTTAAATATAAATATTCATCTTTAAATAGTACCACGTATTGGAATATGCAAATTATTTCCCACTTTAAGTGATACAGACTCATGTAACTATTCATCCTCCAGAAAATTAATGCTGTGCTCAAAAGAGTATGAGTTTACATGAAAATTATTTTGATATAACCACTATTCTTGGGACTTCGCCTTTTTCTGTAAGAACATAAAATTGTCTTCAAATTGAGTAGCTATTTATATTCTTACAAGCATGTGGAACTTTCTTCCAGTAATGACATTGCAAGATTTTTCTTCATTGTTTTTACTATGGTTTCTTAAAATAAATATATTCATTAAAAATAATTTTCTCTCTTACCACATTAAAACTTCCTTCAATAACATATAAGAATGATAGTTCCTAAAAGAAAATATTTCAAATTGGCAATAGTATGCCATTCACATAATCCTGTGGATTTAAATTTTTATTCTTTTACATAAAATGGCTGAAGAGTTTCATTATATTTTGAAAAGAACCAATATACATGAAATCAATATAAAAGTCCAAAAGGATTGTAAATTTAAAAAGCTAAATTAGATATGTCTGCCTTGTGCTGATGGCAGAAAGTGTGATAACACAATAGATCTTTCATTTGACACGTTGGCTTTGAGCATAAAAGGTACATTTTAATTTACTTTGAATGTCCATTTCACCCATGTTGTCAACAGAAATGGTTTAGGGCAGTTTCTAACACAGACTACAAAACTGTTTTATAACACTCCTATGGAAAAGGAAGTAACAATAGGAAATGAATTCAAACCTTTCAGAGTCCTGAAGAGGATGGGATCAGAGAGGGGCCCAACTCCTTTTGCATTTCGAGCTTGAATTCGAAAGTAATACATTGTATCAAGGTTGAGATCCATAATTTGATGAGTAAGCCGATCGCCACTGATTGTTTCCATAATCCAGTCATCAATTGGTATGTTCTTATCCAAGGTATAAAACAAAATGTAAGCTGCATAAATAGACAAATACATCTTCATTTAGTATACTGAACGTTGTAATTCTGCTTCCAATCACCTGTATTTCCCAAATATAATTTGCAATAATTGTATGCCGACAATCTACAAACTAGTGTTCAGCTTTGCAAGTAATTTACTTATATTGCAAACATTAGATAAATAATTGTTTCAATATATAGAATGAGAAAATGAAACAGGCCATTAGAAATAAAAATACATGCAACATTTAAAAATGCATGCTTTCCGCTACCAATAAATCCTGATTATTGGTTTGTTGTGATATATATGCATGATGAAAAATGCAAAACAGTGATAATAAGTCTGTATAACTCACTGCCTTCCAATAAGGAAAATAAGTAATATTTATTTTGGCTTGTGCTTAAATAATACACTGGAAGGTGTAAAATCTCATATATGTTTTTAAAGTGTTATAAAAATAAATGATCATACTTTATTATTGTCATAATTCTGCAAAATTGGCAGGGACAGTGTTGCTCTCCTTCCAGAGATGGTCATGCTGAGGGTGACTCAAGCTACTTGGTAAAAGGGCTGGAATCATATTCTCTACCATGACAGTAAAGATCAATCATTATTTCCACTCTTCCAACATAGCTAGGCAAATAAATAAATTCTGCTGGACAACTGTAGGTGATCTAGTTAATGTCTCAAAATTTAATAATGTCATTTGATGGAACCACTAATTCTCTGTGTTAGGGGACGTGTTTCATAAATATTAATAGTGCACTCAGTTATGATAGTCTAATGTCCACCCAAACACATCAGGTATTTCTGTAAAGTAACCATATTGTGACATTAGTGGTGTAACTTTTATTTAAAAGTAATAATGAATAATTCTTATATTATTATCCTAGATGAAACTGTACAGGGCTCATTATGGACATCTTTGCTACATGAATGTGGTATTGTCTCCATTCCTGCCAAAATTCTGCAATATCTTTAGTGCACAGGCCACCAAAGTCTGTAGGTCTATTCTTATGCATTCAATGCATTATTTGTAAATAACTTCCTTAAAAACTATAATCTTGCATGGATCACCTTTCTTTCTGAGCCTCTGTGGCCTCCATCTGGCCTGGAAACATTAATACATAGATCTTTACAATGATTATATCACAGAGTTCTCTGACTCAGATTCACTTCCCTCGAGCAATAGTCATGCACTTTATCCACATTTCAGCATAAACCCTCAATGGGTTCTTTAGGATTAAACAACATTACAAATTCCAGCACCCAAAATCCGATTTTTCTTATAATCTGATCAATGCTAAAACTATTTTGTGTTGGGTTTGACTTTTTCTGGTGTTTCTCAAAGCTGTTTAATCATAAAAATTACTGGAAGAATGAATACAAATTATTAAAAATAGACTCTAAGGCTGGTCTCTTTGATTTAATACCTGTGTGAAAAATCATTGATGGCTCCAATTACTCCTATCCTCTGATTTTACACCTTGTGTAATCCTTTCTGTTTGGCCTTAGATTAATTCTAAGACTTGCTTCTAACAAACAGATATAACAAATAGGATGGATATCTTTTCCATAATTATATTACATAAGACTATGATTTCTGTTTTGATAACAGACTCTATAGATTCTCTCCTCCGTTGACTCTGATAACCCATGCTGACAAATAGAGAAGGCCATGTGACTGGAAGTAGGAGTGTTTTTTGACCAAGGAGCAGTAAAAAACTGGTCTGTTAACAACCACATAAAATTACAAGCAAATATTTTCCCAGCCAAACCAAAGAAAAAACTTCTGTAACCTTAATTTAACTTCTAATACCTTAATTTACAGCCTTGTAAGAAATTCCAAAGCAAATTATTTAACTAAATTATGCTCTGATTCCAGACAACAGAAACTGAGATAATAAATTATGTGTTCTTCTAAGTTACTAAATTTGTGGTCCTATTGTCTCACACATATATAGATACATGTAGATGATTTACGTGATCAAGCAAGGTCAGGAATCACTGCTTTAGTAGATAATGTGGGATCTATATATATTTTGTCATTTGTTCCAATGTCATGTTACAAATACATAGCTTAAGATGCTGAGAGTTTAAGATACTGTAAAAGACTTGCTAATGTAAAGAATACTGTAAAATTTAAAAATGCTACGGGACTCCTTTGATGAATTAATTAAACTTGGAAGGCTAAAATTCAAAAGGGACTGTGACATAGTTTTAGATAAAGGGGTTGTTTTCTGACTTGTATATGCATACATTTAAAACTCAGTCCCTATCAGCAACATCAACAAAATATCCTCATATTGTTTCTAGAATGATATCCATTCTTATCCGTACAGAACCACGTCTATTCAGAAGGTGGCCCTGGTAACAGCAATTTTACTTTTTAGTTTTTATTGTATGCACACCTTATCTCTTCAAAAGGATAAAAACCTCCCTTTAGTTCAGGAGCCATATCTTTTATTACTTTTTTATTTCTCAACAAAATCTACTCAGAGTCTTCACATAACAGGTACTGAAACTCCCATATTAAATGAAATTCTCTAGCCTGTTAGCATGAAAGTTTTACATTCATTATACTAATGAAATTGTTAAAGTTTTCCTGGGCTGTTATAAGTACAGAGTAAAGCTGAATGTTCAGAGAATTGTGCTCCAAACCCAGGCCAACTACAGTTATTCCTGACTTTATTCATTTATCACATGAAACAAAATATTGGCTTTCACTATGATTTTAGTTACATAAAGATTGTTTATTTGAATAGTTTAAATGACAGTTCTGGAATCAAATAACCAAAGTTAAATTTTGAGTATAAAGTTCTGACCATTCCAAATTGTTGTTAAGCAATTTCCTAATATTTATGGGGAAGTCCAACCTTTTAAAAATGTAATTCAAGAACCGAGATAGTGAACACAAATAAATTATGCCATTAATTCTAATAAATGGCCTTAGGGACAGCAAAACTTCATTTAGGAATGCAAATTTGTTATATTTGAAAGACACTGAATGTCTTATTGACATCTTTTCTCCCAATTCATTTATTTATAAGTTCTTATAAAGTTAATTATCATATATACAGATTGACAATCAGACTAATAGGGCAAAAGAACATATAAACACAAAACTTAAGTCATCTGTAAGAAAATGAATGCACCCTGAGACCATAATGTTAAATGAAGTAGGGACTGATTGTAAACTTAAATATCCTATGATTCCTCTTATATGAATAACTCAGTAGATAAATGAAATATGAAATAAAAGACAGATACTATAATAGGAAAAAAGAGAGGAAAAAAAAGGTTATTGTAATCCAGCATGAACAATGTGTCTAAAGCATACCTTGATTTAGTATAATTGATATCTTACCTTATAGATTTCTACAACAACATGTGCTGAAGAAAATTATTGGCTTCTTGCTACCTTTATATGCTTGTATATTTATTTCTCTGTGTTCAAGACTTTGTGTTTCTTTACTTTTTATCTTTCCTTTTTCTACCTTATTTCTTGTCTTTTTCTCACCATAACTGGCCAAAAAATGAGGGGTATTATGTTCTATCACAGTTGATAAAGTCTGAGACTGTTAACACAACTAGGCACCTGCATTTTGGAGTCATGTGTGTAAATATATGTAAAATGTAACATCATGTATCAATCATTTTGACTACACTTATAAAATAGGCAATTGTAATTCCAGAAGCAAAATGAGAGAATGTATCCAATTCCTCTTGTCCCCTCTTTTCTGTCCTTTGCATTCTTTTTCTAATTCTACATAGATTTCCTTCCAAGGATCAGGTAGACTGCTAAGTAGTGGGAAGACCAAGCTAGTAACATGACTCCTATTGACAAGGAGCTCAACCCAGTGAGTGCTTTTAATCTCAAAAGAAATAATTATGATAAACCTCTACTAAAGGTTTAGATTTTCTCTATTATTATAATGGAAAGGGGATAAAAATGAAGTCAAGATGGCTGAATTTCCAATTTTTCAACTGGATAAGCTGTGGAAGCTTTTCAAAAGATGGGAGTAACAAATTTAGATACTTTTAATTCCAATGTGGGTCCACAATCTTGAATGGTCGTCAACCTATCACAGGACATAATAATGCATTATTTGGCCAATTGTGATGGGAAATATAAAAAAAGAAGATAAAATAGGGGCAATTGTGAAAGACAGGCAGATGCAGATGTGTGACATGAAGTTGGATATATGCATTTAAATCTTTTTTTGCATGGACATACAGATTTCAGAGATATAAGTGAGTATTACCTGTTGCATGGACTCTAGTAGAGATACTTTTCCAGAGAAGTAATAAAAGAAATTAAAAGTCCAACATTCTGAGAAGCAACACTTAAGAAACAGGTTGAAAGTTTATCTGCAAACGACACTGTGAGGCTGTTGCTTTGGAAATGGGAAGAAAAGTGCTTTGTGGATTTTATAAAAGTCAAGAAAGGAGAGAATTTTGTGGGAGAAGAACTGGCCTAGAATAACAAATGACACACAAAAAGGAATATACTCTTATCTGTGAGACTGTACTACATTTAACAAAATATTCTCTGAAATACCTAACTCCTCTCTCTCTCTGTTAGTCCCTAAATTGAACAGGTTTGAAACTACATTTATTTTTGTTTTTATTTTTTATTTTTTTGGTACTGGGGATCGAGCTCAGGACCTTGCTCTTGTGAGGCAGACGCCAGAACTACTGAACTAAATCCCAGCCCTGAAACTGCATTTATTTAGATCAATGTTTCGTAGTTCTGTGTGGACACTAAAATCACATAGGAAGCTTTAAAAAAAGAAACATTCTCAGCTCCTACTTAAATGAATGAATTAAATTAAAACTCAGTTGAGAATCACCAATTAAAGTCAAAAGATAACTAATAAATGGGAGCAAAACACAGTATAATAGTTGATTATAGTTCTCAGTTTGTTTATTTTTCCATTAAGTTTATTTATTGGTATGTTTTAGGTGTACAATACAGTTACATTCATCATTGAGATCCTGTACCTTTACATAATATATCTTGGTTCTTATATTTTCCCCATTCCCCTCCCTTCCCTTCACCCCCTCCACCCTTCCCTATTTATAAACTCTTTATTTCCAGTTTTTCCTTTTCTTATATTTTTTCTTTTTCCTTCTTTCCTTTCCCCTACCTCTCCCATTTTCCCTACTCCTTTAGACCTTTTCTTCCTATTTCACGATATCAATTATACATTTTGATCCTTATTTACACTTTTAGCTTTTCACACCAGAGAAACTATTCGGTATAGTTCTCAGTTTTTTAATCGTAGCTTTGCTACTTCTCAATTATCTGAATTTGGATGAGTTATTTTCTCTAGAAAGCCCTAAACTCTTTATATCAAAGGGAAATAACATGAATATGTCATCGTGTACTATACAGTATTAAAATGCTGAGCAGGACATTAAGCATATAATAAAGACTTCATGGATTTTGAACAAATTTCTTCTGAAAATGTGAAAATAGCAATTTAAGAATTGGGTTTATGATCATAGAATTTAAAAACTGGAATTATCTAAATTTTCTCCTTTGTGTTTTTTAAAAAAATCTTTTTGTAGTAATTACATTTACAAATTGATGGACTGGGTTTTGTGCAAAGCACATTAGTAAAGCCTCTTTCTGGAATGGATTTCTAATTGGAATAATAGCTAATTTGCTTTAGTGCTCATTGGGCATAAGGGATTTTTCTCAGCACTTCACTATTATAACAATTCTATAAGAGACATGCTATTTTTGTCCTTATTTTGTAGATGAGAAAGAGAGGCTGGGGGAAATTAAATGGCTTGTCCACCCCCTACCCTTAAACAGGGAGCTTGGGTTCTTAACTCCCATGCTCTACAGCTGTCCACTTGAAGGAATTAGGAAAACAAACAGAGAGCGTATAACTTGGAAGTACATCCTTTGCAGGCATACCTCCATCCTGCCAAACTGGGACTGAGCTCACATTTTCCTCTGACTTCCATTAAAAGATGAGTGTAGCCAGTCTGGGCCTTCTGCCTAGTGGCCTGAGATTTTGAATATTTTATTACCTTATTCTCTGAGAGTAGTTTGAATGAAAGAACCCAAACAGGAATGTAACAGAAATTCTCTGAAGGGTTCTTAGTATTTCCTCCTTGTTAGATTGAATCAAAATATCTCAACTTGATGACCACAATTTTGTTCAAATGAGTAAATCAGGCTTTTAAAGGCAAAAAAAAAATGTCTTGCATACTTTCATTGTTAAAGAATGGATTTTTATTAGTGAGAACTATTAAACAGACAATTCTAATGTACGTAGCAATTTCTGATACATGCAGTGAAATTTTGGCACATAGAAACATACTGCTTAGATTAATTTGTATTTCTTGTTATGGGCCAGACTTCCAGTTTTTCCCTGAAAAGCAAAATTAAATTTCTTTCCAAATTGAAAACACATTCTATTGTTTACATTGATTATTTGAAGGTATTTATTTAAATAAAAGTGAACTTGAGTGGGGAATATGACTTACTTTATCCTTCACCAAAATAAATATATATTTTTTCATAAGAACTTGTTTTCACTTAGACAATTTTCATTCTGTTTTTTCTTAAATATATTATCTATGGATTTATCATGTACTTATAAATAAGTTTTTATGATGACATAAGATAAAAATAAATCAAAAGCTACAAAAGTACTGAAACAGAACCAATGAACACAGATCATAACACTGAGAGGGGAAATAAAAGAAAATTAGAATGAGCTGGCTTTAGTTTTAAAGGCCTGGAACACTGACAACTGAACATATAAGATTTGAGGGAGATTTTATATCTTCTTTTCCCATATTTGTCAGCTCAAATGAAAATTCTGTTTGCTCTTGCACAGAGAGTAATTTCCTAGAGAAAACAAATCTTCACCATAAATATCAATCACATTTGGAATTTTCACATTATCTATTATTTTTGCAAATTCAGAATGTAACTCACACAGTGACTGTGCCATCTGAAATTGCAATTTCCTTGCTTATCTCTGTATCACAGAATAACTGACTCACTCTGTAAATTTATAGTACTGCAATCCACCTCTTGTATGCAAAAAACAAAAAGAAAGAAAAAAACAGGAATGACTCTTACATGTTTCTAACTCAAAGGTTCAAGTTAATTAGACTATAATGTGCATTTTGAGTTATACAATATTTTTCATAATAATTATATGCTATGGAGACATCTATTAAAAGCCTAAAGTGATCATTTAAATGCAAAATCTCTGATAGAACTCCATTATATTTTTCATACTAAATTAACATTACAGGCTTCTAATGGATGCTTTAATTAGGCATTGATGTTATCAGCAATATTTGGCAAAATAAAATCTGTCACTGTGAAATATTCATTATATTCAATTTCTGGCAGTCAATATTAAGTATTTTCTGAACCTTGTGATTTAACTAAGAAGCTAAAAGTTATGTGAGAAGTTAAAATTCCAAGACAAATTTCCTTCATATATGCTATACAAAAAATATGTGGTTATTGGGAAGATTTTGTATTTTATAGCTGTTAAACCACCAGCTTCACTTTACCTTTATACTTAGAGACACTCTATAGAAAGGTTATCTTAATTCTCCATAGCCTAAAAAACCTAAGGTCTATCCTATTAGAAATACATCTTTCTCACAAAGCAACTCAAATGAAAGTGGTATGTGTGTGTATTTGTATGCACCATTAAAGAATTCCATGGTCTGTGGGGGTCAGAGAAGGGTCAGAGATGCCAAGACAGAAAATAACACACAAAAGGTGAGCTGAGCATGTGAGCATTCCTGGGCTAAGGCAGGACTATGCTGGGAAAGCAAGCTGAAATGCTTACCAGTGATTTTACCATTAGCTTCCAAGGGAGGCTGCCAGCTCACAATGACAGTACGAGGCTTCCCTTCCCGAGTAATGACGGTCAAATCCTTGGGAGCAGAGGTTGGGGCTGCAAGATGAGACAGAGACAAGGCCTTGTCATCAGATGTGAAAGAAAACAGACACTGGTGGGACTTTTAATCATGATGCGGATGCTCAGAATCTATCACAAAGTATCCCCTCTTTACACTGACATTTACAATTTATTTCAAGGATTTCAATTACATAAGCAAACAAGTTATAAAAAAAAATTGCTTTCCGTGAAAGTGAAGTGCTATCTAAAGGGGTGAATGTAGAGAGGGATTAGGGTTAGTGTTGATGACTTTGATGATGATATATCTTCAAGACACAGACTTTTGCTATGCCCGCAGTTTATAAATGAACATATCAATTGATTCTTCAATTTCCTTAGAAGCAAAACAAGAGTTAAAGCCCAGGTTGAAACACATAGCCTACACACCATATTGACTTCTTCTAAAAACAAATGTAAGAGTGAGAAATGAAATACAGGAATTAAAGAATTGATAAATAGCTTCACTTCAATTTGGGATGAAATAAACTAGAGTGAAAATCTGGCATGAAATAAGTTGGAATGAAACTTCTTCACGTTGTGGTTGATGAAGTCTTAAATACATTTTAAAGGTAGAAGCAAACGGCTGACCCAATGCAATATCTTTCAGGCCTCTTCCAACCAGTTTTCACATTATGCCTGGAAAGAGAGTTTTTCTTCTTGGTAGCTAACAATGCTCCAATTCTATTAGCTATACTCTTTGTTACCCTTTGTTTGACACAGGCAGATTGAGAACATATCTAGACTGTATGTTTGGGTTCCTGAATAACTTCCTGGCACCAAATAGGAACTCTGTGTTATCTAAAATATATAGAACTTGGTTTATAAGTCTGTACCAGCTTTACTCTATAAGTATTCACTTTGGTTCTTCAATGTGTCTGTACTATAGTATAGAACCTGGACGTTATCTATACTTTATTTTCAGCATCTCTTCCTGAGTTCCAAATGTGAGCCAAATAGAGAAGAGATCAATTATTCCCATCTATCATTCCATTCACTTTCTAATTCCCTGAAGTTCAGGGTCACTGGGATTCAAGATTTTCTCAAATTACTTGTAATTTTTGCATGCTGACATTTAAAATTTCAGATAGAAAAAGGAGGCAAAAAACATCATGGAGGAGGAAAATAAATAGAAAAGGATGAGTAGAAAGAGGAAAGAATGACCATAAGGAAGAAGAAGAGGAAAACATGTGAAATGGAGTTGATCTTGATAAAAGAAATTGTGATATCAAAAAATCAGCCCAAATACATTATTGAAAAGAGATTATAGCAAAATACCAAATGGCAATATGTTAAGAAGAATTATCCCCATAAAGAGCTCATTCAACATATTTCTAGGTCATAGATAGGAAGCTAAAATACAGATTAGGTTATGATAACAGGTATAAAAGGAATTTTCAAATTATGAAATTAAAAGACATGTATTTTTACTAATCAGAATAGCCTTTTTATTACTTGTATTAAAAGTCAAATTGATGTTTATTTGGAAAATAAATGATGATGATTTGATTGCTTTACATAATCTCTTTTAGTATTCAAAAAATAAAATAACTTTTAAACTGCTACTATTAAAATAATACATTCAAGAGTTGGTTGTTCAAAAAATCAGTCTACATCTAACCTATTTCAAATATTTTGTAAGGCCTTTTTGAAGAATCCATGAGAATGTTGGTAAACAGAAATTTTGGTATTGAAATTAATGTTTAGATCATTTAGGATTTTCATGTTAACTGGATTCTCTGATATTTAGAAAAGACCTTCTTAACTTGTCATGTAGTACGCTTTTGGTCTGCTCCAGAAACATGGTGACCTGTGGCTGGAGGTGGAGGGAGAGATTGTCTGTCAAAGTGTATGAAGTTCCAACTAGACTGGAGGTGTGGATTTAGGGATCTCCTGCATGGCATGGTGAGCAGAGTTCTAGATAATGCTATAGTTGATTCAAAATTGCAATGAGAATAAAATGTTTAACATTCTTACTACAAATAATGATAAGTAATTGAGGTAATGGATATGTAAGTTTGAACCCTTTTAAAAACATCACATTGTAAATTGGAAGAAAAGGGGCAAAGGGGAAGGAAGTGAGAGGGCTAGGGGAAGGGATAAAAGGGAATGGGATTAATATGAGAAAATGGAAAAATAGGAACAAAATCTTCGTAAATAGGGAGGACTGGAGGGGTGGAAGGGAGGGCTGGGCAAGGGTGAAAAATAAGAACCAAGAGAGACTATGTAAAGGTGCAAATTTCCAATGATGAATGTCATTATATTGTATACCTAAAATGTACCAATGATTAGAACGAATAATCGATAATGCAAAATAGGAAGAAAAGGTCCAAAGGAGTAGGGGTAGTGGGAGGGGCAGGGGAAAGGAAAGAAGGGAAAGGAAAAATGCTGAGAAATGGAAAAAATGGAAATAAAGTCTTTGTAAATAGGGAAGGGTGGAGGGCGTGAAGGGAGGACTAGGAATGGGGAAAAAATAAGAACCAAGATGCATTATGTAAAGGTACAATTCCCAATGAGAAATGTAATTGTGTTGAATACCTACAATGTACCAATAAAAGAATTTAATTAAAAAAAACACATCACATTGTATCCTTAATATACATGTTTATTATTTGTCAATTAAAGACAAATAAGTAAATATAAGTTAAAAAAGAAATTCTTTATTGGCTACCTATTATCTCTGAATTAAGTATAAGTAAATAAGTAAATTCCAGACATTCTATTTATGGTTTATTTACTTGGAATTTATGCTTTTTCTTTTAGCCTCCTTTTTATTTGCTGAGTTGTGAACATCGTGCTCCAGTCATTTTGAGCTTTTCATAAGTGTCTTTTGAACACAATTCTTTTCTTCCATCCTTCTCCCTTCTTCCCTCCCTTCCTCCTTCCTGTCCTCATTTCATAGTACTGGGGATGAACTCATGGCCACACATGCTAAGTGAGCTCGCTATATCTATCTATCTATCTATCTATCTATCTATCTATCTATCTATCTATCCATCCATCCATCCATGAATCCATCCATGAATCCATCCATCCATCCAACTATCTATTTTTGCTAAACTGCCTAGGCTAACCTGAAACTTGGTATCCCAAGTAGCTGGTATTATAGACATGTGCTGCTCCCACTCCTGGTGAATACATCATCATTCTTACATCTACTTGGCTGTCCTTGTAAATGCTGCTCCTTCCCTTTGGAAGTCCTTGCAGTGGAACCTGAGGATCCACCTAGGACATAGCTAAGCACCCCTTCCTTTATAAATCCAGACAGAATTTAGACCGTGTGTGTTTGATTTGATTTGAACTTGTCCAAAGTTTTGTTTTGGACTTCCTATGTTGCTTCAGGACTGTTTCAAAATGTTCTTCTTCTCAATTGGGTTATTATTCTTAAAAAATTTTATTTTCTTTCCTTTTTGCCTATCTCAGGGCCTGATAATTACAAATGAATGTTATTATACACTTATGATTAATATTATGGCCCACTAGCCAAACACTACCCTCTGATATTTCTGGTTTTCAAACAAATTTTTCCCACATTTAAATTTCTTTGTAAGTGCATGAATGGATGGTAATAATCGAGATTTAGAATATTTCAGAAAGGGGAATCATAGGCATTAGTTACTTGGACTGTCCAGCATCCTATCTGCTGTTTTTCCTTTTAGAAAAGCACTTTGCTTTTTCCTTTGGAGAAAAAACTCTTGTATGTTTCAGGAGGTTGGTAGCAACATCAACTGGGAACTTTATGGTCTTCATCCCACCCATTTTTAAGCTTGTGTGATCCCTTCTCAAGCCATTAAGATGCTGTCTATCATCTGAAAACTTGAATTGGATACAAGGGAATAAAACAGAATCAAACCACTGTGATGCCAGCACCTTGCAATGACAGTTACAACAGACCATTCTTCATCTCTGAAGTTTGGCTCCTGTCCCTTTCCAATATCTGATTATTTCACATATCCTTTCAGTTATTTTTATTTTACTTAAGTTAATAAGAATAAAATCAAATAGTCACCGTTTGGACAGAATGAAATATTTTACATCAAGGATTTGCCAGCCATTCTTACCTTCATTGTGAGCCATTTCAGCACCTGAAACTGTATATCCATAGTTTTGATGTGTTTGTAGAGTTAGCAGCAAATTTAGAGTTATTTCATTCACTTCATTTTTTTCCTCAGAGTTATAAATCTGTGGACACTTGCGAATTACTTCTTGCTTCTCATCATCACCAAGGAATCTCATCCACATGCTATTTACACCTTTGCCTAGATCATTATCTGATTTGACAATCATCCTTTCTACAACCACATTTCTTAAAGTATCTTTCTGTCAGTAATGTGTCTCATTATTGGTGTCCACATAAGGCTAAGAAGTTGATGAGAAATCCATAGGATGTATTAATCAAGACAGATGTTGATGTGCATTTTATGCTTATAAAAGAAAAAATGGATGAATTTGCTTGCTTTAAAGTAAAATTACTACTCTTTCACTAAGGGAAGATCAGATTTTTTTTGACTAGTTTACATTTTACTCCATTCGTATCCTTTCAAGTAAAAGGAAAGAGAAAGTCCTTTAGTGCCTCCCATATTATGTATCTTTTTCTTCTGGTTTTAATTTTCATAAGAGGCCATAACATTAGCATAAAAGGCAGAATTCTAAAAGGAATAGTTCATGTATATGCAACATGTAAAGTAGAAGAGGAAGATGTTAAAATTAAATGAGACTAAATAGATAAAACTTCTTATAGAAAGAAGTACCCACAAAAATGTAAATATACTCATAGTAGAAATCTAAAAGTTAAGGCAGTACTCTGACATAAAAATTAGAACTATAATTCCAATTTGTGTGTGTGTGTATGTATGGTTATTTAGGATTAATATCTAGGAAACTGTAGCTATAATGCAAAATTTTATTTTGTATCTAATTTCTTTCAAGTTAGCAAATACTTACCATGACTATGGTCAAAGACAGAGTTCAACCTGTGGATTTCTGTTCTTCACTTAAATGTATTGAAAAGATTTATCTAGAGATCCCCAAATTAACACTTTTAAGAAGCCACATATTCATCTTGCAACCACACGATTTAATTTATGGGAGACTCATTTTTTTCTTTTTTAGAGTAACAAGAAACTAATTAACTATAAAACTGCTGTGAACTATAAATGATAAAATATTTTATATACCATAAAAGTGTAATTGAGAAACCACAGCACTCATATATTTTAATTTCCTCACCTTCATGAAATGTCGAAAGTAGACACTTTGAGGTCAGCCTTTCGTTACATACCTGCTTCATATGTGGTGGCATGTGCAGTCATGCTCCATGTGCTGGACCTTCTGTTTTTTGTTACCATGACTGAGAACTCATACATTGTGTTTGGTTTGAGGCCTGTTGCTGTGTAGCTGAGAGAAGTTGTGTCTTCTGACTATACAAGTAGGAAATAAGTAAAGAGATAAGAAAATGAACTCTATCAACTTGCTAATCAAGACATGTAAAAAGAATATCAAGCAACCCAGCAAAAACCAAGTCTATTTCAAAACTGCAGAAGAGCTAGTACAAGGATTGGCACTGTGTCTTTTCTGTCAACAGCTTATATGGGCTGATAATACATCTAAGACATGACTAATCAATCAGGCATTATGTTGTTGAAAGGCTTAGCTTCTGATAAACTTTCTTAAGTGAGGCAATAAACAGCACAGGACAAACAAAACTTTCCATCTTTGGAAGGTGTCTGTTCTGACTTGGTTTTAAGTTTACTTATAATAAAAATCCAGGTTAATATTATACATTTCACATATTTTCCCCTGGTAAGATAATTTATTAGAGTTTGTTGCTTATTATGTTTTAATAAAAGATTTTAAGGTAAAAACTTTTAGTGTTTCTAGTATCTCTTTAGCTCTTAAGAAAATAGAAGAAAAGCGATTTTGTGTCATGTGCTTTTCTTTCTGTCTACTTCACATTAAAGAAACATGTAAGTATGATAATGAGTAACTGATGAGGAAAGGAAAAATAATTTGGATAAATACTGAAGAATTACATTGTCATGCAAAGTAGTGCTAGTATTACTTAAATCTTCTGAATCCATTGTTTGCCTTTTAAACAAGAAGTTATTTTAGTAGAAAATTAAATAAAATTAAGTAAATTAAATCTTTATTGCTTTTTAAAAAATCAAAATGGTAACGAAGGAAAAAAAACAGATTAGTTTCTTAAATTAAAGCATGTTTTATAAATGACCAGGCAAATTCAAAACTATTTTTACCTCATATAAGATGTACTTGTGCTTGATATCTAGATGTTGGTCTTTTTCCAAACTTATTTACTTTTACATCTATATTTATTACTTTGTTATATATCTATGCCTAGAGAGTCAAAGGAAGCTTTTTCTTCCCTTAGGTAGATGTCTCATCTCTCTCTTTTTCTTACTACTGTAGTACAGTAAATGTTTTTTATCCACCTGTGAATCTCTTAGGCTATAGCTATGAAAATCCTACATTTTGTTACAACACCAAATAGATATTTAACTGCCCTAATAACATTTTGATGTTGTGCCTATCCATTCTATTAAAATGATGACCTCAGAAACATTTATCAGAAGCTCTCCTTAAAAACAGCTATAAAATGTGTCCTAAATATAAAAATATTTTGTATGATCAGGAAGATGGAATTCCATCCAATAAAACCCAAACTACACAGCTAGTATGTGACATGCTGATATGTAACTTCCAGTACTGCCTTGCTTCATAATCATTTCTAACACCTCTGAATACTACAAATGGAAATAGGAATGAGAAATGGGGCAATGAGGAATATTTTTCTTAGGAGGACAGAATCTTATCTTAATAAAACCAGTCTCTTTGTGCTGCACTGGAATTTAGGATGCCACTAAGCAATATAATCTTTATTTATGGTCTAGAAAAACAGATTGACATTTACAAATACCCTGAACTTACTCATTTTCTCTGGAAACTTGTAGAAGGCTACTGGTTATTTTAAATCATTAATCCTAGAAATACTTTGGAAATTTGTGGCCAGTTAGTTTTGAGAATAGGATACTCAGGCAGTGTCTCTCTGAGCCTTACCCCCTCATCTATACAGTGGAGATAATCATAGAATTGATCTCATAGCATTAAAGCGTGACATGAATTAAAAGATAGTGCCTGGCTCAGAGTAGGTCTTAATGGTAGCTACAATATTTCATGCAGTGTCTTACATTATATATAGTTTTAGACATGAGTTAAATTCCTTTTTGAGTTGTATCTTGAGGAATGAGATTGAGTCATGCAGAACTCTTTTCTGTAACATTAATGGTATACCTAATAAGCCCAGTCGACTGTCAATGAATCCATTTTGAATAGAAATTCATGTAAAACTGCATGTGATTAAACACTTGATAGAAAAAAAATCATAGAAAATCCTTTTTTTTTTTTTTTTTTTTTTTAGGAAAGCCAAAGCAGGGTTTTAGACAATCAAAACATAAGTGTAAGGATTATGGCTTGATTTGGGCATAAACAATGTGTAAGGGTATTTTTGTGAGGAGAGCCCTACATGATCCTATCAGATCAGCTGAGTCTAGCTTCAATGGATTAGTTACAACCCTTCCTATGTCTTCCTCAAGGAACATGCACACATATATTAACACTCTTCACTATGAAGATTGTTATTTATTCTTTTTATAGTATGAGTATCTGTATCATATGGATTAAAATGACACTAAATTAACTGATATAACAATATATAGGATATAGTGAAGTCAACTCTTGAGCCCAGATCATTTGATTTCATGTATTTTTAAAATTTTGTGTGTGCCTTACCTATCTTATAAAGTTAACATGGGAAAAAAGAGTAAGTAATAGATAAGACAGTGGCTTGAAAAGTACAAACCAAAGAATCTGATACCTTACTTATAAAATGTATATCTTTCTGGTAGACCAGATATCTTCTTCATTTATGCTTCCCACTCCAACCCATCTGACTGTTTCCTTTCCTCTAACCCTCCTTACCTCAGATGTGGATGAAGAATAGTGTGTGTGTGTGTGTGTGTGTGTGTGTATGTGTGTAGGAAGGTGATATATTAGAAACTGAAACCTTCCATTCTTGCTGAAAGTATGGAGTGCATGTCTTTAATCTGTTGAGAAGGTTCTGTTCTACTTCTAGTCTCCTGATAGCTTTTACCATGAATACCTGTAGAATTTAGTCCAATATTTTTTCTCCAACTACTGACAGGATCATATGGCTTTTTCCTTTCCTCTGTTACAATAATGACTTTTGGGGGTGGATCTTCCAATGCTGAACCAACACTGCCATCCCTATAACAAAACCACTTTCCACATCCTGCCAGATCTGACTTCCAATAGTTTGTTTTGTTAAACAAATTTCTATCTATGTTCATACTTTTTTCTTCTATTATCTTTATCCAGTTTTAGGATTAGCACGATGTTGAGTTCCTAAAATGAGGGGAGAAGTGTTCTTTCTTTTTTTCTGCTTTAATTGTTTGATATAATTTATCAGTTAAAATGTATGTGAGCCTGCTGCTGTCATATAGGTAGGTTTTCAAACTAGGAATATACTTTCTTTAATAGGTGCTATTCAAATTTTATATTTCCTCCAGAGTTAGTTTCATTCATTTGTCTTCCAACTTCTTAGAAGTTGTCAAATTTATTTCAAAAAAGATTTTTGTAATATGCTTTCTATATCCTTTTAAATTCTGTAAAATCTGTGGTAATGTCTCCTAGATCTTGATATTGTAATTTTAAAAATGTATAATTGATATTGTGTAACAGGAAGAAAAGGTCTAAAGTTGCAGGGGAAGTGGGAGGGGTAGGGGAAGGGAAAAAAGGGAAAAGAAAAAATATGAGAAAAGGAAAAAAATGGCAACAAAGTCTTTGCAAATAGGGAAGGGTGGAGGGGGTGAAGGGAGGGCAGGAGAAGGGGAAAACAAATAAGAACCAAGATACTCATTTAATGGTACAAGATCCCAATGATGAATGTAACTGCATTTTATACCTAAAATGTACCAATAAACGTAATGGGAAAAAAATAAAATAAAAGGTAATAAAAGTTACAAAATAAGTTTAGAAAAAATTTTAAAAAAAGAAACTGAAACCTTCTTCAGGGAAGATGATAAGAAAAGAAACAGTTAAAATCTTTTTGGATTGCATCTCTTTTTACAGGAATTCTTTGTGAGACACAATAATTCTGTGTCTGCTATACTAACTTATTCAACTGAAATTGTTTTCCTCAAGAAATTTTGGAGCTCAAACCATTTTGCAGAAAGCAATCATTGTCCTTTGGAACATTTCACATTCTGGCAAAGAAGCCATGGCTATTCTGTGAAATGAATGTATCTACAAAGTACCAACAATTATGAATATAAAAATTTTAAAATGGAAAAAGTAGTCTTTTAAAGGTATTCTTGGAATTGAGTAATCTATATATAAAGAGATATTTTTCATACTCTCATGTTTTCTTGGTTGTCTTTTCTGATAATATTGTCTTTATTTATGGGTGTGCTGAGTCCTAAAATCTAATACTGTAAGGAGATAGATGGGGTACTTATGATGTATTTTATGTCAATGATAATATTTGGACTTGCCTGGAGAGATTTTCAAAGTCTACCAGAGGAACATTACCAAAGAAAACTGTTTATGATTTCAACTAAAATTGACTTATGATGAAATGTGCATTTTATGCCATTTAAAGGTTGAAAGACCATAGAGGCAGATCCAGTATGACTACAGAAAGAGAGAGACAACTTATAGAATTATTAGTGGGATTTTGCTATTGTCTCTAGGGTTGGAGTCAGAAATTCCCAAAGATGGAAATTTCATCTTCCACCACATCACTACCAGATTGAGGCTAGATTAAGGGAAGCGGTGGTTGAGTAAAAAAGACATTACACAAAATATGTACATTCTTGCTGAGAACTACCACAGTATAGAGGTAAAAGCAGAGACAAAAGGGGATATGAAGAATCTGGAGGGCCCGCATTGAGCTATTTGATTCTTTGGTTGTCCTGTGACATATATATTCTTATTTTAAAGCTTTCTTTTTCCCCTAAATCTTCACTTTGAGAATCATTAAAATCATAAATCTTATATATTTTTCCAGATATTAACTCACTTGAATAACTTAGGACTTCTTTCAAACATATCTACTGAACTAAGAGCATATCTCATTTCAAAATTTCCCATAATATATTAAGAAAACCAAAATGTATTTTTTGATTTCAAAATAAACTATCTCTTGATTCAGAACCAGAATAGGTACACATACTTGGCAAGTACTTTGTAATCACTTGTGTATTGCCCATATATGCTACTATTGTGTCAGGTTTAGGAGGTGACACGATAGTCTCCATTGTCTGTTTTTTTTTTTTGGTGTTGCCAAAGTTGACTGGTAGAAATTTGAAAAAGGTAATGACGGTGGCTCAACTATATCCCTAAGGAGCTCTTACAAGGGTTTTGAGATGACTCAGCGATGACAAGAATAGGGGCTCTTGTGATTCATATTAGTTCTAGGGGATTTTCTTTACTACAGGAGGGTGGTTTCAAGACTAAATGTGGAAGTCAATGGTGCAGTGGTGGTGAACCTATGGCACACATGTTATTTGTTTATCTTTTAAGACTAAAGATGTTCATGTATGAGTTGTTTTTTCTAAACTAAAACCTCAGTATTCAGGTTTAATTGCAGAGTTTGCACTTTGCAAGAAATAAGTAGGATTTGTGTTGCATTTTGGGCAATCATCTCTAAAACATTTGCCATCACCGATAGAGTACTTTCTAAAGATGGTATAAAAATACCTTCATGATATCTACTCTTAGTCGTATTCACTGATATACTGGTCTCTTTGATATTAATGAGAATAACTTCGGTGTCAATGTACATTTCTGATGGAAAGAAAAATATCAAAATCTATCTAGAAAATATTCTTAGATATCTGCTATTTTCAAAAAAGGAAAATGACATTTCCCCATATAAAATCAAATTACTGATAGAAACCTAATATATAATGAAATTCAAACAGCATTTTGTAGCTCTTACTGTATTTCTACCTCACTCTAAATTTGTTTCTTATGAACTAATTATCTCATACTAATTTTAGAAACTGAGTTACTGAAATGTTTTGTTTTCCCATGTAAAATCTCATTATCTCTTTAGCAAACTGACTCATGGTAGTCCAGAAAAAATGTATATATCAGAAAAAAATGTATATTTCAGAAAAAAATGGCAGTTCATTTTAAATTTCATGCAATCAATTACAACTTTACCTTGTACTTGGCACTGGCAGAAAAGCTGGTCCTCCACCGGACGGTGTACAGCCGTACTTCAGATGATTTTTGGTTTTTAGGGACAGAGTTGTCTGCCCAGCTGACCCTCACAGCCTCATGAGTAAGAGCCACAGCTTGCACACCTACTGGTGGGAGCATGGGGGTGGAGAGATCTGGGACGGAGGTGGGGAAATCATCAAGCAAAGGGTAATAGTCAACTGGGTCAGTGGGATCTGGGTTAAAAACCCATAAAATGAAACAAACACATAAGTACATAAATAAAAGCATTAAAAATAAATATCAGTGGTAACACATCACAATGAGTTAAATGCATGGTAATAATGATGAGAGGGAACATGAGAAGAACAGAAAAAAATGCAATTAATTTAATGAGAAAACACATCAGCAACAGTATTTCTATGTCACAAAAAAACGATATTTCTATACTTATCTCCTTATTTTTTTATCAATTTGGCTATCACTTCTGGTTATATATTACCAGTCTATATTTGTTGCTATATTCTACTTTACTACTTAAAAGACACAGTACAACATTTATCAATTTTATTACTATATAGATGACTTAAAACAGCAAGATAAAATTATGCTTCTGGCTTATTTCCTCCTGCAAAGGAAATCAATGCTTGTTGAAAATCTGGGTTATTTTCCTTCTCATTCTCTAATTTGATGATTAAGTTTCTGTAATACTTTCATTATTGTTTAGTTCAAGTCTCTATAAATGCTGTTTAGGCACAAACAATAAAGAACAAAGCACCTTGACATCCAAACAAACCTGTGTATAGTTGTAAGTACATAAAATCAGAGTGACCAAGTTCATGTGCTCACAAGGTCAATTGATATTTGGTAATTAGGGTTCAGGTCACAAAAGGTTTGCTAGGTTGTACTACTTTAGAAGAGGGGTATTAGTGTCATGTTACCCACCTGCTCACAGTAATTAGCTCTGATCTCAGTGTATCATTTGATGCTCCTAATTCTAAAATTCTGAGTTCAGGGGGCAAACCTTTTACTTATTGGATGGGAAGACAAAATTACTACCTATAAATTGATGAGATTTGCACCAAGGTATAGAAATGCTCTGATCCATAACATGACAGAGATCTGCAGGATGATGTGTGTGCTTTTACAAAGTTCTCCAATTAAAAAACCCTTGGGCTTATTTTCACCTAGAGCAGTGCTGAGATTTTTCTGGCAATGGTAATAGTCCAATAGGAGCATTTAAATTTTGACTTACTATATTTACATTTAAAAAATGAATCTTTATATTATGTAATATGAATTTTCAGTAACAAAATAAAAAGGAGATGTGTAGTACAGCACTCAGGGTTGGCATATGATGCCATTTAGGGAGATGAGACCTGTTAAAATGGAATGTTTGCAGTGGTGTATAAACTGTTTTTTTTTTTTTCTTTCTAAACAACCTAATTCAAAGCTGAGCACTTGCTGGCTGCTTCTGATGATTACTGCACTTTGTCCACTGCATTTCAAATCCCTATCCCCTATTCATCACTCTGTTTTTCTGATTAATTATTTAGTATATTACCAGGTTACTGGTCTGTGGAGCAAAATATAAAACTGAAAAAAAAAACAGAGAGAGAGAAAGAGAAAGAGAGAGAGAGAGAGAGAGAGAGAGAGAGAATACGAATGAAAGAGATATTTAAAATTTAATGACAGCCCAGGCTTTCTGTATTTCTTTTGATGT